TTCGACATGAAAGGATGTCATAAATGAAAATGCATAATGGTGCATTATAAGCATGAAAGGATGCTATAAATGAAAATGCATAATGGTGCATTATAAGCATGAAAGGATACTATAAATGAAAATAAAGGATAATTAATAAAGAGATAATGGGAAAAAAATATAAAGAAAGATATGTATGTTAGGCATACTAAGAATAATTACGATAATTGTGTGAATGAAAATCTGTTTAACTGTCTAATTACGGGTTAAGGGTGTTACAAAACACCTTTGTTCATTAGAGCTATTTAGCGCCTGGATGGTCTCTTCTTCATGAAAGTACGGATTTGCAACAATTTTATCTGTTGGCTTTGTCCCACCTGCCTCACAACCTTGCTAGCAGCAGCTCAAGATAGAGTAAACCGGCCTGGTGTGATAAAGATAAACATCGATGGTTCTTGTCCGGGAAGTCCTCCTATTCCGGCTTTGGGAGTGATTGTTCGTGACACTAATGGCTTGGTCCTCTTCGGTTTTGGTCGCCCCGTACCTTTCTCGAATGACACAGCCATTGTTGAAGCCCATTCATTAGTGGCAGGCATACGCTGTGCTTCAGTGTTGCCGAATGGAGATATTATTATGGAAAGTGATTTAAGAAACCTGGTTGCTCAACTCCTATCACAATATAATGATCTTTCCATGGTCAGCTTTCATCTTGTAGCTGCCCGTGAACTTCTGGCGTCTCACCCTCACATCAAGGTTTGTTATGTTCGACCGTCGGCCGACCAAGTTGTGCACTCTTTGGCTCATTGGGGCTCTTCAACACAACATGATCTTTATTTTGATTCCGATTGCCCTAGTTTTCTTACTGATTTTGTATTGAACGACGCTATTAAGGCTTAATCTATGCTTGGCTTCGTTGAAAAACAGGTTTAGTAGTCGAGTGATTAGTAAAATAAATTTGAAAAGTTTTGTACTATAATTTCAAACTTTTATAGTTTAGTAACTAAAATGAAAATACGACAGAAGTGTAATGACTAAAAATGTGATTTATCAAAATATTTAATATATTTCATATATATATGTTATTGTCTTTAAATTTAGGGTAAACTGCGCATACTTAAACTATAAGTTTTGGTTCATTTTAGTACTTAAAATTTTATTTTTTTCATAACCGTTCCTAAAGTTTAGGTTTTATTTTATTTTAGTATCTGTCGTTAAAAACTTTACTTTTTGTTTCATTTTAGTATCCTATTCAAAATTTAACGTTAAGTATTAAAAAAGATTGAAATTTTAGGTACTAAAAATGACCAAAATTGATAGTTTAGATAATAAACGCGTTAAGTTTTTAACGGCGGACACTAAAATGAAATAAAAAATAAACTTAGGTATGATTTTGAAAACTATAAAAAATTAGGTACTAAAACGGACCAAAGTGATAGTTTAGGTACTAAATGTTTAGTTTACCCTTAAATTTAAACACCGATGGGTAAAGTACGGCTTTACCCAATATTGAGACCAAGCCCTGCACAGTTGAGTTGATTTTTTGTTGTGCGGATTGATTTGCATGGTTTCGATACACCATTCGAAAGCAGAAATGGAGGAATTTGAATTGATCATCTTTTCTGGAGATGCCTTATGATTGTCCCTTAATCTCCTGCCTTATATCTGCTTTGTTAATGCGTATTGCCTTCTTATATGAACTTTGCGCGGTGCTTTGCAAAAGGTTAATTTGATTGAATGATCATTTTTAATTATAAATACAACAATTAATCCATTAAATTATCGTATTAGACATAAGATTGTTGGACCTTTAAGATATAGGTTCATTTGAACGATGCATGACGGCAACTGCGTCATTGTCTTGAAAGACTTCAGCAAGGCAAGGGTCGTACTATATAATAATACTACAAATAACGTCCAGTAATGAAATAGATAGACGGCAAGCAGGGTTTTCGGAAATGGTTTACATGTCACAGCTGATGTGGTTCAATGGATTCCTTTCACGTCGGTCTATGTTGGAGTGCTTTGTCAGCATCATCCCTTCACCTTTTTCCTCTTTTACTAATACACAATTCTTTCTTCTCACCTGCTTTGGAAGACGACCCTTTCATAGTTTCAGCAACACGCCGTGAGACAAACGTAGAGGGAAGGATGGGGTATGTCCCTTGCAGCTTCCGTTCCCTTTCAAGAAATCACACCCAATGTGGGTCACTACTCGAGATAGTCATGGTTCGAATTAGAGTTTTGACCCATCCGAACCTGACTCGAAAATTATCTCTTTCTGTATGTATCTAACTCGACCTAAGTTTAAGAAATCCCCACTATACCCAAAACTCGACCCGACTTTTTATATCAAAATTTATCCTTGATCTGAATTCATATTTTTAAAAAGAAAAACCAACTCAATCGAATCATATCATATAGGTTCAAAACCCATTGGATTTGGATAAAATGCCCATCCCTAGCCAATGTTAAAACCAACACAAAAACAATGACTATAACAGCTATAGGCTTCTTAAAGTAGTGGAAAACCACCAAACTCTCATCTTGTTAATTACCTTATAGCTCCATTCCATATTCTCCTTCAAAACACTTAAGCTATCTTTTCAACTTTCAAGTTTCAACCCCCATCCCCATGTTGCTTGTTAGGTAAGTAATGGTCAAATAGCTTGCATATTCAAATTAGAAAATCCACCTTAGTCTTATACATAAATATTTTCTTTGATGTGAATGGGAATATTTAGGGTATCATTTCGTAGAGTGCAACCTGAACGAAATCTTCATCATAAATGATGTATACGTATATACTAGTATATTTCACACTATAATTAAGTCTAGCTGCATGATTATCGTATAAATGCTTGTAAGAGATTACATAACAAGTACTTAATACAATCCTAACAGAATTCAACTTAATATAATTATTTTACAGAATGACAAAGTTGGCAAGGCTTACCAAACCACTATATTTTGGCTGCTTTCTTCACCTATAAATACCAGCTGGACACCCCATTGTTCATGCACTACAACCTTGTCTTTTTTTGCCTTTTCAATACAATCTTTGCTCATTGAATCCTCCATGGCTCTCTCTCTTCGTTACCTTTTGATCCTTTTAGCAACTTTGTTTCTCACGACAGAGGCGTCGAATTTCATCCATTCTCGAGCAGCTTACTACCCCAACTCCGACGAACATGGAACAGATGGTAAGGGGATACAGGGAAAGCATACCTTGTATTGTGTTTATGTGCGATACAAACATATAAATGCTCATAGGTTTTGTTTACTGAATTGCAGTGGGTGCATGCGGTTTTGGTTCTTTTGGAGCAACGATAAACGGTGGAGATGTATCAGCAGCATCTGATCTCTACCGTAACGGTGTTGGCTGTGGTGATTGCTACCAGGTATTAAAGAAAGATGCGCCTGCACATGTCATGAAATATAGCATAGATTCCCTTTCATACGCTTAAACAATACCTAACCTGCTCTTCTAATATGAGACTTCCACTTAACATTGCCTATTCTTTCTCCTATATAACAGGTGAGGTGCACCAACAGCCATTACTGCTCAGACAAAGGTGTTACTGCAGTTATAACCGATTCAGGCTCAGGCCCCAACACGGACTTTATCCTTACCAGACGAGCCTTTGGTAGGATGGCTCAGACAAAAGATGCAGCCGCATCTCTATTAGCTTTCGGAGTTGTTGACATCGAATATAGGCGGTAAGACATCTCTATATTGAGGAACACGAATAAAGTAGTTTCTCAAGAACCTATAACCCATATAAACAAAATCATGAATCTCTCACCAATTTCCTACACTCTATTTGTCCAGCGTTTCATGCAGCTACCCCAACAAAAATATTACTATCAAGATCGATGAGAACAGCAACTACCCTTATTATTTAGCATTTGCTCTATGGTATCAACAAGGGGATAAAGATATCACAGCTGTGCAGCTATGTGAAGTAATATGCTCTTTCTGACCATAACTTTCTGTTTAATCGAGCGAATAGAATACTTACAAAATGGGGTACTTTTAATGCCTGCAGACTCAGAACTTTGTGTGCAAGCTCTTGGATAGAAGTTATGGAGCAGTATGGACAACCACTTCGCCACCAAGCGGTCCATTGTCTTTAAGGATGTTATTGAGCGGAGAGGACGGAGACGAGTCATGGATTGTTCCTGTTAATAACATACCAGAAAATTGGAAAGCTGGAGAGACATATGACACAGGAGTTCAAGTTGATGTCTAGCTATGTGCGCCATAGTCATTCATTTCTTCATTTTAGCAAGACAACTAAAAGAACAAGTTTCTATGTTTCTTCAAATATGTTCTGTCATTATGTTTATTTGAATAGTATATATCTTATTATTTTGTGTCAATGAAGGGATGAAAAATTTAAGTAAGAATTTTTTAATGTAATCTTTGACTAATGAAAAATTATGTTTCTTAATAAAATTTCTGCAAGCAGTCATCGTAGAAAACATCACAATCCAAATAGTCAAGGGATAGACCTTGTTCTTCTATGTCGAAACATATTTTTTTTCATGTTTTGCTGTTATTCTTCCATCTCCGCCTTTTCCGATTTTATCCACAGTATTTTATTAGTCGACTAAGCCAAAGAAATTTCATAATCTCCATGGCAGTTTTACATACCTTGTTTGTGCAGCAGCAAGCAAAATCCTACATCCCTTTTAACAAAGATGACCTGGTAATCGTCGGCATAATGCTTCCTATTATTAGTTTCCAGTAGCTAAGGTACGAATAAATCTAGTTAATATCAATAGTTATACCATGATGATATTTTCAGAAGTACAAAAACAAATCATCTCACAATAAATTGTCAAAAATCCTTGGCTGAAAAGCAGTCATCATAGAATGAGAATCTGACCGAAGCATAAACACAAACCTAAAGTATAAACTTAATCTTAACAAAAAGAGCACAAAATATGAACTTAAATCTTCACAAAAAGAAAAATGAATAAATTTTGAGCGATGTTTACAGAATGTGGCTATCGTTCACCATGCTGTTTCCCAAAGACATTTTCTCTGGAACCTTTTTTTGGCTATAAGTTTCTGTCTGTTCGATTTTCCATTTACTGATCATTCCTAAAACACCAATAGAATCTCATTTCCACCAACATATGGTATGTCGTGGATCATACAGATTCATTGAGGCACTTGTTTCTGGCAATCCCCTGTCCTTGACAAATTTTCTAATGTTCTTTACTTCACCCCACTTCCCTTTCAGAGAATATATTGGGAAAAAAACAATACATAGGGCCCAACATCCATATGTTCCAAACCAATTACTCGCTAGGCTAGAATCTCCCCAAGCACTAAATTACTACAAGCAGAAAGCAGAGCTCTCCAAAGGGCAGATCCTGCCTCTGCAGGCATCTTATTCTTAAGCTCGTCTGAATGTAACTAAATGTTCCATCGAACGATTCCATCTAATTCAATAAACATGCAACCAAAGTGCTCCACTTTAGCACCGCCAATCCTCAAAATCCTTTCCCCCATCATCCACCGCCCATAACCCATACCTACTGCAGATAAATAACTCGAAGGCTTTCCCAACATGTCATGCGTCCCATTTCCCATGATCATGGAATTCCATGACACCACATTTTTTTACAGGCATGTTGTCAAAGAACATTGCTACCAACACCCATAGCCCCACATTTTGTATGCATCGTCAAAAAAGCAGTTGAAAGTAACATATCACATTTGATCTTGTTATTTTCATCAAAAGAATGAATCCCCAAGCCCTTATAAGGCCTCCTCAAATTCACACATCCTATCAGAAAACATTAAAGCCTGAATGGTATATTTCTTTTGTATGATTTATCAGAAATCCCAAATAAAAGTGATAAAACTTCATCAGCTTGTGGATGAAGTTTATCTCCAGACTTGAACACATGAACTCTCCCATTCAGCTGTATCCAACTACACCCCGGGACTTTCCTTACTCCTTTCAACCCCATTTCTTTTCTCAATTTTTGCTCTGCCATGTGAAGACCTCTTGCTGCATAAATATTGCAGAGAGCCACATGGGCAGGTGAGTTCTTTGGGTCCAGCTCAAGCACTTTCGAGGCAGCATGTTTAGCAATCTCAGCACCTGTTTCACTAAACCCACATACGCCGAGTAGTGCCCCCCAAATAGCACAATCTGGTTCAAAAGGTAGACTCCTGACAAACTCTTCCGCTTCCTCTACTCTTCCTGCTCTGCCCAAAAGATTGACTATAGAAACACAATGCTCCAAACCAGGCTTAATTCGATAAATATCCCTCATCGATTTAAATAGTTCCAATGCTTTACTGATAAGGCCTACATGACTACAGGCTGATAGGACACCCAAAAAAGTAACAGAATTTGGGTGACTTCCAGATTCCAGCATCGCTTCAAAAATCTTTATAGTTTCCTTTGCTAGTCCATGATGAGAAAACCCCATGATCATTGAATTCCATGAAATCAGATCCCGAGATGCCATAGTTGAGAATATATTATATGCATCGTCTATTAGCCCACATTTTGCATACATGGAGATAAGGGAATTCTCCAGAATCAAATCAAATTCATATTGTGTTTTCACAAGAATGCAATGGAGTTGTCTCCCCAGATCAAGATTTGCTGTTGCTCCAGCAGCTCCAAAAAGAACAGAATATGTAGCCGTCAAAGGCAAAAAACCTTGCGCCCAAATCTCCGAAAATAAAGAGCTAGCTTCTATAAAAAGTTCGTTTTGGACATAGCCAGATATCATTGCCGTCCATGCAACTGCATCCTTTTCTGGCATGTTATTAAAAAGATAACAAGCCTGAGAAACTTGTCCAGTGCTCAAATAGCCATCAACCATTGAAGTCCATGAAATCTTATCTCTAATAGGTAATATATCAAACACATATTGAGCCTTTTCCAACTGTCCAATACGAACATAACCAGTGATCATAGCATTATAAGATTGAACTGAAGAGTTATTCAAGTTCTTTTTAAATATATAATATGCAAAGTCCATGGTACCGAATACTGAATACATCTGAATGAGGCTCCTAGATAACCTGCCATCATAATCATCAGACTCCAATCCAGCAACAATGACTTGAGCATGCAACTGCTTGCCAAGACAAGGAAATTCCATACCAGCACAAGCATAAGCAAGCGATACAAAAGTCTCAGTATTTGGTCTTATTTCATAGTTAGTCATTTCTAGAAAAAGCAACAGGGCTTCTTCAGAGAAACCATTCCAAGTAAACCCTCCAATCATGGCTGTCCAAGAAACAATATTCCTCTCAGGCATTCTACAAAACAAACAATACCCTTCATTAACTTCACCGGCTCTACAATAACCTGCTATCATACTAGTCCAAGTAACCACATTCTTTTCCTCCATCTCCTCAAACAATTCTCTAGCTTCTTTCATTCTACAGTTCCCAGCATATCCAGAAATCATAGTGTTCAATGAAATTATATTACGGCCTGGCATTGCATCAAACATTGACCTTGCTTCCTCCAAATCCCCATTCTTAATCAGCCCACTAATCATACAATTCCATGACACAACATTCTTTTCTGGCATGTCATTGAAAAATCTCTTTCCCTCACAAACTCGACCACTTTCCAACAACCCACACAACATCGAAGTCCACGAAACCACATTCCTCTCGGGCATTTCCTCGAAAAAACTTGTCGCTTCACCAATCCTCCCACACTGTATAAAACCCGACAACATGGCATTATAACTGACAATGTTCCTCGAAGGCATAATTTCAAACAGCAATTTGCCTTCATTAACAAAACCATTTCTTGAGAACTTTGAAATGAGAGAAGTTAAGTGAATAACGCGGCCATGGTTGCTTCTTTGAGGCATTCTGTCAAGCAGGTTACGAGCTTCTTGAATACGGTGATTGGATAGTAAATAAAAGAGTTGGGAATCATTGAACGTGAGCTTTGAGCGATGGGTAATTGAGAAAACAGGTTGCGATTCAAAGGAACGAACATGGAGGAGACCATAGCGTATAAGAGAAAGTGAGGTTTTTGACAAACAGACGCCGCGCATTCGCCCTTATTTGGGAAGCAGCTGTGTTGTTTTAGCATGAGAAGCAGCTGTTATGACTTAAAAGGACAATTTAAAACTATAAATATATCACCTTAAAACATAAAACTATAAATCTATCTACTTAAACATAAAAGAAAAAAAAACATAAATATAACATTACATTTAAAATCACATGTGTGCATAAAAAATCAATGTTACAGATTCTTACAAACTTCGATTTTTTTTTATATAAATAAGCTTATTTCTGAAATTTTAGTGGCCTTCGGCGAACTAAAAAATTAAGTCTCTAATCAGAAACTTAAAAGGTAAACTACGCCAATCATCACTAATGTTTGGGTAAGTGTTCGTTTTCACCACTAATGTTTAAAAAAGTCATAAATCGATCACTAACGTTATCGTTTGTTACAAAATGGTCGTTCGACGATAACAACCATTAATAGGTGTGACGAAAAATACAATTATACCGTTAAATGCTGACTTTGGGTGTTGACTGGCACGATGGAGAACCTTTGAGATCCATTTGATCGACACTTGAACTAATATTGTAATAATATATTGAAAATAATAAATATTTATTGAATCTTTAATTAATAAAAAAATTAAATGGGGAAATATATGGTTTAATAAAACGAAAATATGTAATTCTAAGCTTAAACAAAACTTTTCTTCTTCCATTTCTCTGAGAAAAAATCAATGTAAGAGAAAAGTGAATGAAGAAAACTTAGGGTTTGTAGTGAAGAGAGAAGAGGGAAATCGTGAGAAAAAATTAGGGTTTATAGTGAAGAGAAAAGAGAAATCTTGAGGAAAAATATGAGTTTGAAGCAAAGATGGTGCTTAACTGGAGGCTACGACAAAAGGGGAACATTGTCATGCTTTACGGTAAGCTTCATTTGAGTTTAGGAGAAAAGGTGAAAACCTAAGTTTTCTGACAGAAAATTGATTGAGTTTTTTTATAGAAAATATGTTTGGGGTTTTTCTTTCATATTTATGAATTTTCTTGATACTTATAATTTAGATTTTTTGAGTTTGAAAGAAAATGTCAAAACCTTTGGATTTATGCTCTGTTAATTGTATGGTACCATGTTGATGTAAAGTTAGGATATGGTCTCATGTCTTTATGAGTGATATGTTTTGATAAGCATATGTGATTTGTTGTGATATATTACTGTAAACTTTTCTTGATATGTTGCTGAAAAGGTCAAAACCATTGTAAAGTTTGAGAAAATATGTATGCTTTTTTGTACTGTCATGTTATGATAAGTATACGTGATATGCTACTGATAATTTTTTATATATTGTAATATGTTGACTTTATGAGTGATATGTTTTGATATGGTCACATTTTAACATCCCAATATCGGGGTTAGTGACTTAAATGAGAGTTTTTGGGAATTGGGTTATCAATTTAGGAAAAATTGAAAAGTTCAAGGATTTTAAGTGAAATATTCTGGTATTGGATTAATTAATAAGGAAGGAAATAATGAAGGGATAGGTGGTCTTTTCATTTTAAATATATTTATCTCTTATTAAATAGAAAAGCATGTGGGGTAAGGGTGTATCTGGAAGCTTATTTTCTTTTCTTCTTCCCCTTCTACTTCTCCCCATAAGCCTCAGTTAAAGGTGAGTTTAATTTCAGCTATTTAATTCTTGGATTTATAAGTTGGTTTTGATTCTTTGTGTGCTATATAAGCTTAAGGAAATCCTATATAAGCTTAAAACATTAAGTAGAAAGAATTAGAAAGGAAATTTTGTTGAGGGTTTAGGAATGAATTTTTTATATAAAGAGCTTTTTGAAGTTTTATTGATGAATTTGACTTGTCATTGGAAGGATTAAGAAGTTTAAAGCATTATAAATGAATTTAGAACACGTGGAAAGTTTGATGAAATTCTTTGATTCAAGAGTTATAGTGAGATATTGAAGATAATGGAGTGTTATAGTGTTTAAAGAGGGTTTATATATGTATGGATAAGTTTAAGGGCATGAGGAGAGGTAAATAATTAGAGTTTGGGGTAAGTGTTGGAGATTTTCGGGCTAAGAAGAAATTTTTGGGTGAGTGGTATCGATACTACAAGGCAATTTATGAGGAACTGATACATGGGGTATCGATACATGTATGAACAATATCAATACCATATGGAGGAGGTATCGATATCAGGGAACATCAAAGCTAATTTTTGTATCGGTATCGGGGTAGGGTATTAGTATCATATCATAGAGGTATCGATATTGTGAGGATAGTACCAATACCACTTAAGTTGGAAAGTTAAATTGGAGTTTTATTTAGTTTGTATTGATATGAATAGTATTAAGTAATTCAAATCTTAATATTCATTAAATTTCATATTCGTGTAGATATCGATCAAAATCAAAGTTTAGATAGGCTGTCAGAGTAAGATTCACGAGAGAGAACAAGAGTTTGGTATTGACAAGTAACCAAGGTGAGTACATGATATTAAGTGTAACTAGATTATGGAATTAAGAGTTGCGATGAGTCTAATTCTGATACTAGATTATATGAGTACTCAAATATAAGCATGTAGTGATATGATGTTTAGAGATATATGAGTACATGCATATGTCTAGATGTAAGTACATCTATATGTGTGTGATTTATGTGAATACATATATGTGTGTGTTAAACCATGTGACAAGAAATTATGTGAATATATGAAAAATGAAATGAGCTAAATAATATGGATTTATGTGACCATGTGAAATTAGATGAGCTATGCAATCGTAAAGTATGTGAATGCATGTCTATAAGATAAGCCAAGAGATATGTGATTAAGTGATTAATAGATATAAGCCATGATATATGTGACATATGAATCATATGGAAGTGATCTATGTGTAAGTGAACTAAGTGACTATGTGAATGAATGATAATATAAAGAATAATGCTCATGTTACGTGTTATGAGAGCTAGGGGTATAGTTGGCATGCAAAGAGTCGAGGGTTCTTTGTGGTCCTTTGGGACATATATGTTATTCTGTGGAACATATATATGGTTCTTTGGTACACTTATTTGATCCATTGTTTTATGTATATTGTTCTTAAGGAGTGGTCCTTCGGGACATATGTGATATGTGGTCCTTCGGGACATAGTGCTCATTCGGGACAAATTCTAAGTGCCCTTAGTGGGAATTATACGAGTTGTGGTGATAGCATATGTGTACAACCTCTATGTACTCACATACCTTAAGTTCTCAAAAGTATACATGAGCTAATAACAAAATAGACAAATATCTTGTATTTGATATATGTATATGGATATGCTATGTGCAATGAATTACAGAATTTGTATGTGTATTTATTTGTTTAATTTATAAATGATGATTATGAACGTTAGATATAAGGATATATATATATATATATATATACATACATAAAAATACGGACTAATGATAATATTGGTAAGTATGAAAACGATTGTGCATGAGTATGAAAGAATTAGTGTAGGATTTAATATAATATTATTGTGTATAATGCATATGCGTGGTAAATATGTGAAGTTTTTATTATTCATTTATATGTCTCACTAAGTCTATGACTTAGCGTGTGAGTGTTTCACACATAGGATCCGAGAAGTATCAAAGAGAAGGTTGTTAGTAGAAACAACATATCCTCATTGAAGATCAGATCAGAAGAATTGCTATCAATATGTATTTTGTTGTAATATGTATATATATATATATAATGTGACATGTATTTAAAGGATTAAATTGTATAAGCTATGAAAATTTTTGTAAATGTTTTGAGTACTTATATGTAAATTATTTAGTATGTTTTAAATTGAGTTTGAATATTTCTCTATTTGATATAAGAAAATGGTTTGAAAAGTTGATGTGACATGTCAGACTCATATTCTGGTCGAATACGGGTTGGGGTGTTACATTTAATGGTATCATACCTAAGGTTTAGCCAATTCTAGGCTTAAACCGGTGTCAAAAGTGTTTTAAAATGTATACATTCCAACCAAAAAGTGAAAGTTTCTGATCTGATATAGTCATGAATATGTTGTCTTATAATAGATCTATATGGTTATATATTAGATTTATGATCGTGTGAGTTCTCGAAATGAAATGATAAGTGATAGAACTAGAGGTAGTAGTAATTTACCTGCCCTGGCCAGGCAGGGTGAAGAGCGAACACCTCTGTTGAGTTAATCGATCGATGAAATCGGCCAAGAGGGGGGTGAATTGGCAATTGAATTTTTTTGTGGAAGTTTTTGCAGAAAATTGAAAGCAATTGCATAGCAATTTAGAGTGGTTCGACTTTCTCAATAAAAGTCTACATCCACTACCTTAGTTATCCACACTAAGGATTTTCCAACAAATTCACTAATTTGTTCTTTCTTTTGAGGCCAAAGAGATAACCTTACAACTCCCTCAAGAATATACCCCAATTCTTGAGAACACTCTTTCTCAAAGAGAAGATTATAAATTTGCAAACTTACAAGAAAATCCTCACAAGGTAGATTGTTTGCACAATTCTAGAGCAAAGAAAAGAACACTAAAAAATGAATACAATTGAGTACAAGTAGTGTTCTTAAAAGCAAAATGAATATTGAATGAAAAATAGGCTTGAAATGCTCAAATTGGAGGTTTGATGCTTTCTCTTTGATTCTCTCTTGATTCTTGTTGATTGTTGTTTCTTGTTGTTGATCAATGGCTTCTAAGCTTGTTTAAATACACCTTCAAATGATTTTGAACGTTGGGGATGATTAGTGGAGTCAATAGAGTCGTTTAAGTGTGAAAACAATTAATTAAAGCAGTTGAGAGCGTCAGTGCATCGATGCATACCCTAGGTGTGTTGGTGCATCAGTGTAAAATTCAAATATTTTGACCGTTGGACTCTCAGTGCATCGGTGCACTAAGAGTGCATCGATGCATAAAATGCATTCAATGTTTTGAAAAAGCCTGAGTGCATCGATGCATGGTATTGTGCATCGATGCATCAAATGCACTGAGTGCATCGATGCATCAAATGCACTGAGTGCATCGAT